GCTACGAATCAGCTACTAAATAAGCTACGAATTAGCTGCTAATGAACTGCCGCCCGCCGTGACGGTGCGCGCAAAGTGGAAGGACTTTGTCTGCGCGACAAAGATGAAGTAGACGGGCGAGGCGGTGATGGCCATCCCAAGCAAGAAGGAGAGGGCCCGGCGAGGCCCTCTCTCAACCAGCACCATGCAGAGCGCGGGCACGGCCTACGACGGGGAAGCACGTGATGAAGAGGATGGGCAGTCGTTACAGACACGCAAGAGCGGGAGGGCCGTCATGAGCGAGAGCAGCAGCGGGAGCAGGGCGAAGAGCGAGAGGGGCTGCGCCTCGTAGTTGTTGAAGCGGTGATCGAGGCCGACGAGCGCGAGCATCGCGAGCAGGTAGGGGATGAGGACCTGCTCGGCCATCCGCAATGAGGAGTGCGGTGTGCTCGCCATCCATCCCTCGCGCGCGCGGGCACGGGGCGAGGGACAGGCGCGGGGCGAGGCACCGTCACGTGCATCACGATCACGTCGTGCACGTAAAAGGCGATGGCCGAGTAGTAGTACGAGAAGAGCTTCACGAGCGGCGCGCTGGCGGCGAAGCGCGCCACGTCGCGCGTCGTGAGCGACGCGGCGGAGCCGGAGGAGAGCTTCGCGAAGAAGCCGGTGATCTCCATCAGGTTTGTGGGCCGCCCCTTGCCCACGAGGTGGTACTCGCGAAAGACGACGCAGCCGCCGGCGAGCACCGTCTTGTACCCGCTAAAGATGTCCTCGCTCAAGTTGATCTCCTTGGACGCCTTGCTCACCCCGCCGCGCGTGGCGAAGTGCAGCTTGTCGAGCAGGTCGGGGTGGCCTAGAATGTGCCAAGAAGGTTCCAAGACGGTTCCCAGAAGAAGTGCAGCTTGTCGAGCAGGGCGGGGTGGCCGTAGTGCAGCCGAACGTCCAGCGGCTCGTCGAGCACACGCTGCACGAAGGAGCCGAAGTAGCGCTCCTGCAGCCCGATGAAGATCGCGGTGACGAAGCCGGACGACTGCGTGAAGATGTGCTCCGGGAAGCCGATGACGGTCACCGGCCCGGCTTTGGCGGACGACTCGAACTCCTGCAGCAGCGGCCGCATCTTGAGCGCCTCCTCCCAGTACCCCTCTTGGTTCATGTCCACCATCTGCACCCTCTCGCCGTGGCAAAACGGCAGCGCCACGTTCTGGTTCTCGGGCTTGCCCTCGCCGAGGATCGGGTTGCCGGGGAGGCCGACGCGGCTCTCGCACCTCACGCCCCCCTCCCCATCGGAGCACACCAGCATCGCCGCCCACGCCTCCTCCTCCTCCTCCCCCCCTCCCTCGCCGCCGCCGCCCCTGCGCTCGACGTAGGCGACCCGCAGCGAAGGGAAGGCGTGCATAAGCGCCTCGATATCGACCGCTCGCGGGTCGCCCGCCCGCTTGTAGTCGCCATAGACCTGGCACGCGCACACGTAGCCCACCTTGCGCTGCGCCAAGGCACTGGCGGCGGCGGTCTGCGAGGCGGCGGGCAGAGGGGGGGCGGGGCCGCCTCCCGCTGAACCCGCCTCCACGGCCACGAGGAAGGCCAAGGCCGACTCGTAGTACATCATGCCTAAGGAAGGGTCCGAGCAGGTTCCGAGAAGGTTCGAGGAAGGCCAAGGCCGACTCGTAGTGCATCATGCCGTAGACGGTGCGCGCGAGAGTCTGGCCTCGCATCGAGGCCCACAGCCGCAGCTGAAGGGCCAGCCTAAGGAAGGTTCCAAGAAGGTTCCGAGAAGGTTCCTAGAGGCCCCACAGCCGCAGCTGGAGGGCCAGCCTCGGCTCCGAGGCGCAGCGCGCGACGCTGAGCGCGGAGGGCGACTCGCCGAGCCGCTGCGCAAAGTTTGCCCACTCGTCGCGGTGAAGGCCGCGCAGCACCTCGATGAAGGAGCGGCCAGTGAGCTACGAATGAGCCTGCATGCTAGCTAGGAATGGGCTAGTAAGTGACTCCGCGCAGCACACCTCGATGAAGGAGCGGCCGTCGTTCGACTCCTCCTCCAGGTCCGCCATCGAGTAGAGGACGGTCTCCTTGTAGACGGGCGTCAGGATGGACCACGACTGCATCTCCGCCACCGGAGGCGCCTCCGGTGCATCCATCTTGAGCGAGCGCAGCCAGTGGCGCAGCCGGCGCATCGCCTCGTTGGAGCGGAGCGGCCTCGGCGTCGGCGACAGCGAGAGCATGCGCCGCAGCCGGACCGCGATCGCCTCAAGGTTGGGCTCGTGCCGGAGCAGGCTGGCGAGCGACGCACTCGCGTAGCTGCTGTCCGCCCAAAAGCCAAGGGTCGGGTGGGCGAGGGTGGCCTGCAGCGCGTTGGCGGCGGCGCCGAGCGCGCCGCGCACCTCGTCCTGCGCGGCGGAACGGCTGGGGCGCGCGGCCGCCGCTGCGAGGCAGGCGTGCTGGAGGCACGCCAGCAGCGAGGCGAGCGCCTGGCTGGATCGTACTTTGTTAGTAGCTGATTATTAGCTTATAAGTAGTCTTTTAGAGGCGAGCGCCTGCTGGATCGCTGGCAGCGCCGCAGAGCGCACGGCGGCGCCCTCGGCCGAGGCGATGTCTGCGATGCGCACGCGCGTCACGCCTCTGCGGCGGCGCGCGAGCGAGAGGGCTGCGGTGAGGTCGTTGAGGCTGGCGGTGAGGTCGAGCCGCGAGAGGTCGCGCGAGAGCCCCTTGAGCGAGACGACGCGCGACAAGCTCGAGAGCGAATCGCCAAAGGAGCGCGAGCGCAGCGCGTGCCGCAAGCCGACGCCCGAGCCGGCCGAGGCGCCGCCGCCGCCGCCGCCGTCGCCCATCTGCGGCCGCTCCGTCGTTCGCAGTCCACCCCCACCGTTCTGTCCCGACTCGAGCGGGCCGTCCGTTGGCGCCTGCGCGGCGTTGCTGCCCTCTAGCCCGCCGGCGCCGCCCGCCGGTCTAGCGGCGAGCCCGTTGTCGTGCGGGTGCGATGCGGCCGACGCCAGGCACGCTACGCTCGCCGACCGCTTGGCGAGACGGCCGTTAGGCGCCGCGTCGCCTCGAGACAGTTACTGAGTGGTTAGTAGTAGTTGAGTTAATCAGCCGTTAGGCGCCGCGACGCCTCGGGCGGCGTTAGGGTTAGGGTAGGGTTAGGGTTAGGGTTAGGGTTAGCGACGCCTCGGGCGGCGCGGCCATCAAAGGCGACGATCATGGCGAAGATGGCCTCGCACAGCTCGACGAGCGCCTGAGACAGTTCTATGAGTGGTCTATCAGTGCTCATTCGCAGGAACGAATTCGCTCGACGAGCGCCTACAGACAGGTCCCGAGAGGCTCCGAGGCGGCTCGTGGAGGGAGGAGGCCTCGCACCGCTGTAGCGCCTTGCGCAGCCCGTAGAGCACCCGCTCCGAGCGGAGGCCGGGCGGCAGCGCGCCGCAAGGGCGGGACTGGCCGGCCGAGCCGGCGGCAGACGCATCGGTGGCTGGCGCGATCGGGGGCACGACAGCGGCGAGGGCTCGGAGGGCGAGCGCCACGTCGGGCTGGTGCGCGGCGCCGAGCAGCGGCCAGACAACTGCCATCGCGATGTCGGCCGCACCCGCCAGCGAGAGGCGGCAGAGCGTCGGGAGCGACTCGACGGGGCAGCCCGCGAGGAGCGCACTGAGCGCGCGCTTGAGAGACCCGAGCGGCGGCGGGAGAAGCAGCGGCAATGCCGTGCCGTCGGGCGCAGCCTCGGCGCGCGGCAGGGGCGGCAGACTGCCCGGCACCGGCGGCCGCTCTTGCCACGCCCTGGCGGCGGCGCTGACCGCAGCGGGCGGCGGCGGGTGGACGGCGCGCGGCACGATCGCAAACTGCAGCCGGGTCTCCTCGGAGTTGTCGACCAAATCCTGCCGCCGCATCTCGTGGAGCATCGTGTTCCAACACTGCGCAAAGCCCCAGCCGCCCCGCGCAGGCAGCCGACCGAGCAGCCTACGCCTCACAGGAGCCGGGCCGTGAGGAGATGTCCCACCACGGGAGGGGCGCCCGCACTGGGCAGCAAGCCGTAGCCCCGACAAGTCCGCGGGCGCGTCCTCGTCTGGCGGAAGGGCGCCGTCTCGCGACCCATTGGCGACTGCTGGGAGCGAGACCGAGCGCCCCCCCGCCGACACGGCCCACGCCCCCCCCTTGGCGAGCTCGCCCAGCAACTGCTCCTCCGCAGCCTCTTCCTCCGCCTCCTCCTCCGCAAGCTCTTTCTCCGCCTCCTCCTCCGCCGCCGCCGCCATCATCGTCTCCTCCGCCTCGTCCGCCTCCTCGGCAATCACATTTGGCGAGCCACGGCCACCCTCCCCGCGCGCAGTCGGTGCAAAGGACGGGCTCGCCCGCAACCCTCGCTGGGCAGGGACCGGGCTGGGGGGCAGCCGGGCCGGACGGCTGGCGAGCCAGCGTTGCTCGAAGCGGTCGGCCGCCGGGTCAAAGTGGGCGGCGAGCAGCTGCGGCAGGCCTAGCAGGTTCCAAGAAGGGTCCTAGAAGGTTCTGTCCACGGTCGGCGGCGAGCAGCTGCGGCAGGCCGAGCTCGGGTGCGATGCGGAGGGAGCCGAGCCCGCGACAGAGCCCGACGACGAGCACCCAGAGTGTGAAGGTGAGCGAGAAGCTCACGAGGAAGAAGAGGATGACCGGCACCTAGAAGGTTCCAAGAAGGTTCCTAGAAGGTTCCTCCCGGTGGAAGAAGAGGATGACCGGCACCCAGATGCAGAGGAGCAGCACAAACAGCTGGCCGAGGCCGATGCCGGAGCTGCCGGTGAGCGAGCGCCCAAAGTACGAGTAGAGCAGGCCTAGGAACCTTCTAGGAACCTTCTTGGAACCTTCTAGGTGCTCGCCCAAAGTAGGAGTAGAGCAGGCCGAGCGTGTCGACGACGAGCGCGTCCGCGATGTAGTGCTGCACCAGCAGGCAGTGCACGCTGAACAGCGTCAGCCAGAAAGCGAGCGCGCTCCAGCTCGTCGGCCGGACGTGCCTATGGTTAGTAGCAGCCACTCATCAGTCCATTGATTGAGTACTTCACCAGCTCGTCGGCCGGACGTGCCTCGCGGGGAGCGGCCCGTTGGCAACCTCGATGCCAAACAGCGAGCAGTTAGAGTTAGCAGGCAATTCGCAGGCAATTCGCAGTGCATTCGCAGTGCATTCGCAGTGCATTCGCAGTGCATTCACCTCGATGCCAAACAGCGAGCAGTTAGAGTTAGCAGGCAATTCGCAGGCAATTCGCAGCGAATTCGCAGCGAATTCGCAGTGCATTCGCAGTGCATTCGCAGTGCATTCGCAGTGCATTCGCAGTGCATTCGCAGTGCATTCGCAGTGCATTCGCAGTGCATTCGCAGTGCATTCGCAGTGCATTCACCTCGATGCCAAACAGCGAGAGCAGCCGCTCGCGCCCCAGAGTGGGCTGACCACTGCTTCCGCCGCCGCCGCCGCCGCCGCCCGGCCGCACCACGAGGAAGCGCAGGCTGGACAGGGTCGGCCGCACGAAGACGGCGATCGAGAGCAGCAGCGCCATCGCCCAGTGGTGCAGGTGCTGGTCGCGGAGCGAGAACCAGAGCGCCACGTTGAGCGCGAGAGAGAGGAGCAGGTCGAGCGCGACGCGCAGCACCGCGTCGAGCTTGGCAGGCGGGTCGCAGGTGGGGAAGCGCGCCCACAGCTGCAGCAAGCCCGAGAGGACGCGGTACGCCTGCACGTCCACCACGAGGGTCGCCTCGAACTGCAACACGCGCAGCGCGGCGTCCGACTCCTCGCCCGCCTAGAAGGTTCCAAGAAGGTTCCTAGAAGGTTCCTAGTGCCATCACGGCGTCCGACTCCTCGCCCGCCTCGCAGGGCACGCCGAACTCGGCGGCGATGCAGGTGTTGAGGCCGAGCGTCGCGCCGAGCATCAGCCGCAGCATGATCCAGTGCGCAAAGTAGACGTGCTCGAACGCACCGAGCATGTGCAGCCAGGAGCGGCGCTCGCGGTACTCCTTTGCCAGCCCGCGGAGCTGCGCGGCGGCACTGCCGGCGCCGCTCCCCTCGAGGCTCCACCCGAGGCAGTCGGGTCGCCAGAAGGCCTCGTTGACGTCGTCGTAGTTGAGTGGGTGCGCTCGCTCGCAGAAGAGGTGGACGAGCGACGCGTAGAGCGGCGCCACGCTCGCCAGCGCGAAGGGGCGCGGCAGCGGTTTCGCCAAGTCGGAGAGCTGGTGGAAGAGCCACCAGACGGCCTCCGATGCGTGGCGCAAGTTTGCCGCCTCGGCCCAAACGAGCAAGTAGAGCAAGCACTCTGCCCGGCGAGCCTCCGCCTCGGCGAGCCCGCCCTCGCCCGCCTCCTCGCCGCCCGCCTCGGCCGCCCCGCCCGCAGCGCCCGGCCCGTGCCTCGCCCGCGCTGCTGCGGGAGAGCAGCGCGGCTCGGCGCGCACGTGCTCGCACCAGGTGAAGTACGACGCAAAGAGGTGCGCATGGAGCGAGTCGGCGGCGCGCGCCGCACGCTCGGGGGCGGAGAAGGGTAAGCGCGCCGCTCTCGCGGCGAGCAGCCGGAGTAAGTGCTCGAGCTGGTTGCACACCACCGAGCGCTGGAAACCGAAGTCGGCCTCAAACGCGGCGGCGACGGCGCAGAGCTGCTTCACCACAGGACTGCCGAGCGCCCCGCTCGCATCCACCGCGGTGCACTGCTGCAGCGGCGGCAGCCACCGCCTCTCCTCCGGCGGCGAGCCGTCCCCCCACCAAGGGGCCGTAGGGTCCCCCCACCAAGGGGCCGTAGGGTCCCCCCACCAAGGGGCCGTAGGGTCCCCCCACCAAGGGGCCGGCCGGGCGGTGAAGGCTTCGGCGGAGACGACCCGGCGGAGGCCAGCCGAGCTTGCGGCGGAGACGAGCGGGGAGCGGCGCGCCTCCCCCGCTGGCGGCTGGCTGCGAGGAGCCGGCGCGAGGAGGTGGCCGCCACCGGACAGGCTGCCCTTCGTGGCCGCCTCTGCCCGTGCCGGCGGGCGGTGGCTAGCCACCAGCGCTCGACCGACGGCTGCGCCTGGCAGACGTCGACCGCGACGCGCCTCCGCTGCAGACGGGCTGGCGGCGGGGTCCTCCTCGTCGTCGACGTCATCCGCCAGCTCCTGCCAGAGCTGACCGCTCGCCCGCCACACCAGAGACCACAGCCCCGCCTCGGACCTTGGCCTGCAGCACACGCACACCGAGGCCGCGGCAGAGCGGGTCCAGCTGCCTAGTAGTAATTCAACATTAATTAACAGTTAATTAACAGTTGACTTAGAAGGGGAGCGGGTCCAGCTGCCCCGGCGCAGGCAGCGGGCGTGGCGCAGCAAGGCGACGCTGGTAAGGGCGACCACCACCGGCGCAGCCCACGGCGAGGAGCTCCTGCCGAGGTCGCCCTGCACGCCGGACCCCGCGAGCCCTTCGACGGCGTGCCGCACGTCGAGCATCGCCTAGACCCCTCTCGGAAGGTTCCTAGAAGGTTCCTAGAAGGTTCCTAGTGCCGCACGTCGAACATCGCCTCGCCGCCCGCCAAGCTTGCGGCGCCGAGCCAAAGCAGCTGCGCGCCGCACAACGCCGTCGCGGCCTCGAGGAACGCCTTGCGGACGTGAATGGCAGCCAAGCCCGAGACGAGCGCGACAAAGAGGAAGAGGGGGAAGAGGAGCAGGGAGAGCTCTTCGCCCGCCGACCAGCCGCGCGGATGCGGAAGCGGCGGCCCGACCGGCGGCAGCGGAACGGCGGCGGACAGAGAGCCGACCCGACCGCCGCCCTCGTCCTGCCCGCCCTCCCTGGCGGCAAGCGCGCCCAAGAGAGCCACGAGCAGGCGGGGCAGCGCTCTCGCCTAGAAGGTTCCTAGAAGGTTCCTAGAAGGTTCCTAGAGCAGGCGGGGCAGCGCTCTCGCCTGCTGCCCGACGGAGCCAGAGTCAAGGCGGTGCGAGGCAGTGCGGTGCGAGGCAGTGCGGTGCGAGGCAGTGCGGTGCGAGGCAGTGCGGTGCGAGGCAGTGCGGTGCGAGGCAGTGCGGTGCGAGGCAGTGCGGTGCGAGGCAGTGCGGTGCGAGGCAGTGCGGTGCGAGGCAGTGCGGTGCGAGGCAGTGCGGTGCGAGGCAGTGCGGTGCGAGGCAGTGCGAGCGGTGCGAGGTGGTGCGGTGCGTGCGGCTCGCCTGCAGCGCGAGGAGCGAGACGGAGAAGGCGGTCGCCAGGCAGAGAGTGAGCTCCGAGAGGATGGTCAGCAGCAAGCCGCCCACCACCGCCGCCTCGACGACGCAAGCGAGGTAGACGAGGCGATCGGCAAAGAGCCTGCGGCCACGGCCAGGCTGCCTCGCGCCGCGGAACCTTCTAGGCACCTTCTAGGCACCTCCTGCCTCGCGCCGCGGAACCGTCGCCGCCCCACCCGATCGGAGAGTCGCGCGACAAGACCCCTCTCGGACCCCTCTCGGACCCCTCTCGGACCCCTCTCGGCTACGCGTCGGGCATGTCTCGGCTCCCTCTCCGCGAACCGCACCGCGCGAGCGACGCCGCCCGAGCCCGCTCCGCCGACAAGTTCCAGACGTGGCTGCGCAGCGACACGCCTAGAAGGCTCCAGGAAGGGTCCTAGATGGTTCCAGACAAGCTCCAGACGTGGCTGCGCAGCGGCACGCCGGCCGACAGCGTGAGCGAGCTGGTGGCGCTGTCGCCGCCCGCGGTTTGCGGCCCGAGCCACGCGTCGTCGGGAGAGACGCCGAGGTAGCGGGCGAGGCCGGCGGAGGCGAGCGCGGCGCAGAAGAAGGCGCCGAACAGCAGTGCGAGCGCGAGGCGGACGTGCTCCTCACTCAGCAGCAGCGCGAGGGCGCCGAGTGCGGCGACGCAGCCCGAGAGAAGGACGGAGGCGCGGAGCAGGTTGTCGACCGAGGGGGGCGCCTGCTTGCCGTTTGCCCACCAGTGCTGCGCGATCCAGCCCGCCGTCGGGTGGTCGGGGGGCGAGCACGAGGTGCGCTGCCGCCCGCTGGCGCGCTGGTAGAAGCGGACGTGGCCGATGCGGAAGACTGTCGGGAAGATGGCCTGGTCGATCCTGCCCGAGAAGACGCGCGAGACGGCGGCCGAGATGATGAGGTACATAGGCTCCTGTGACGGGGTACAGCGGAGAGGCGATGAGAGACGATGAGAGACGATGAGAGACGATGAGAGACGATGGGGGGCATCGGCTCCTCCGGCACGAGCCGCTGGCCGACGTGCCCGCCGCCGGGGACGCGGCGCGGGCGGAGCGACTCGCCGGTCGCCTCGAAGACGAGCGATCCTGCGGGCAGGGGAGAGGGCGGCTTGGGCGGCGGCACGGGGCGGCGAGGGCGCGCGTGCGACGAGGGCGGCGGCGGGCGGGGCCGGGTCGGGAGTGTGCGTGGCTGGGGAGTGCGGGACTGCGTGGCCGGGCTCGTGCCTTCTAACCTTCTAGGAACCGTCTAGGAACCGTCCAGGAACCGTCCAGGAACCGTCTAGGAACCTTCTGGGAACCTTCTGGGAAACTTCTAGGACGCGTGGGCGTGGGCGGGCTCGTGCTGGGCTGCGCGCGCCGTCGAGGAACCATCGCATGAAGCCGTCCGCGCCCGGCTCGTACTCGAACCGAAAGTGCGAGAGGGCGCGGTCGCTCCTCGGGGTGGCGTCGGCGGGCGGCGCGCCGAAGAAGCCCGCCTACGCCCGCCCGCCCGCCGGGTGACGTCTCGAGAGACGCCGAGGCGGCGGGGGGAGAGAGCGGCGCTCGCGTCGAAGAGCGAGCTGCCGAATCCGCCGTAGCTTCCGGCCGCCTCCGCCGCCGCGGCCGCGCCGGAGTGCGGTGTGCGGGGCGGGGTGTGGTAGGAGGGAGAGAGCGGGAAGTAGGCGCCGAGCGAGTCGAAGTGGTCCCCTCCGTACCAGAGGGCGTCGATCTCGGAGCGGCGGCCGAAAGTCAGGTTGGGGTACCAAGGCCGGCGCGCCGACGGGAAGGAGCCGTGGTTCGGACGGAGCCGGCCCGGCAGGCGTGGCGCAACCTGTCGCCACAGAGGTTGGGCGTGAGACCCGGGGGGGCGGCGGCGCCTGGGCGGCGGCGTGGCGCGGGGCTCTTCTGGCTGCTGCTGCGGGGCTCTGGCTGCGATGCCCGAGGCTGCGCCTGGAAGGTTGTGATGCCGCACGTGAGGTTGTTGTGCGCCACCGCGAGCGCGGGCCTGTCGCTGGCGGCGGCGATGTCGGCGCACGGGCGCGCCTCGAGCAAGTCCACCTCCGGCACGCCTATGTGACATGTCTCGGACATATCGCGGACATGTCCTGCGACATGTCCTCGAGCAGCTCCACCTCCGGCACGCCTCGCCCCTGGTACGGCCGCAGCCCCGAGCCGCGCGCTGGCTGGTCCGAGCAGGCCGACAGCACCTAGAACGTTCCTAGAAGGCTCCTAGAAGGCTCCTGTGTTACGGTCCGAGCAGGCCGACAGCACCGTCCCGCGGGGGAGGAGAGTCCCGCGGGGGGGCAGAGGCGAGCAGTGGCGGGCAGTGGCGGGCACGGGGTAGCGGTGTGTGCTGTGGCGAGTCGGCTCGTGTGTCTGTTGTGGTGGAGGGTGCCGAGCTGATGGGAAGGTTCCAGGAAGGTTCCAGGAGGGCGCCGAGGCTATGGCGCCGAGCCCTAGCGTGCCGCCTGGCCTCCGAGAGACCGGTCGCACGCGCCGAAGGAGAAGGGCCAGAGGCCATCGTTCGAGAGCGGGTAGGTGGCCCGCCCGAGGTTGCCGAGCATCCAGATGGCAGGCCTGTGACAAGATGGCGGGCCTGGCGTGGCGTAGACAGAAGCAGAGTGAGTGAGCATCGAGATGGCGGTGCGTGGCGTGGCAGCGCCTCCGGTGAGCTGGCGGCAGGAGCAGAGTGCCAGGCGGTGGAGGGCGGCGGAGGGGTGCGCGCCAGACGCCAGGCGCGCCCGGCTCGCCGGGCAGGGAGAAGGAGACGTCGACGATGCCGCCCTGCAAGCAAGCCTTCTCCCACGACTGCACGGAGCCGGAGGCGTACCGCGAGGCGCGGAAGCCCGTGTTTGTGGTGTAGATCTCGAGCGCGCCCGCGTGAGTGCTCACCATCTGCGGCGTCATGTATGCCAGGTTGCCGTTTGTCGGGTCGTGCCTTGCGACGGCCGTCCAGATCGGGTCGCGGTCCACCTGAGACGGCGAGCGAGACAGCTGACGGGACGAGCTGGTGGAAGCGAGGGCGCTCAGACGCTCGAGACCTCGCTGAAGCGGCGGCCCTCGGTCTCAAACTCGTCCGACATGACCAGCCGGTAGCTCTCGCCATCGCCAAGGCCGACCGTCTCGAGCTCTTCCAGCGGTGTGTCGACGTCTATGAGTGACCCATCCCACGCGTTGCTGCTGGTCGCGTTGCTGCTGCTGTCGCTCTCTGGCCAGCCGAACAGCCAGCTTTGCAGCTGGCGGGGGCCTCCAGAAAATGCATGAGCCGAGAGAGAGAGAGATAAACAAGCGAACATGCCCGAGCTCGCCGCTGTCTGGTATAGCCCCAGCCTACTCCGCTGTCAACCTCGCGGGGGCTCGGTCTTGCGGAGGGCTGCTCGCTGCCTCGGGGTTCGGTTCACACACCTGTAGCGGCTGCAATGGCTGGAGCTCGCTGGACCTGGTAGTACCCCGGTACGCGGAGGCTAGAGATGAGGAATAAAGAAACAGACGGCCTGCTGTAGGCCTCTCTGGCGCGCGGTTCATCGCGGCGCCCCGAGGAGGAATAAAGAATTTTACCTACGTGGGAGTCCATCCCTCGTTTGGTTTGTATGTCTGTCTTTCTTTTCTCACGGAGCTAAGTGCCTCGCCACCCTCGCAGGAGTCGCTTAGGCGGCTCCCGTGGTGTACCTGTGTTAGTGCCAGTGCGCGCCAGTCCCGTGCCCAGTGTTGTGCGAGGGAGTTTTGTTGCAAGATTCTTTTCTCTTAGCTCCCCGGCCCTGGAGATGCGAGGGTCGCCCCCCTTGCCCCACCACTTTGTGTGTGTGGAGACGTTCACCTTACCTTACCTTACCTTAGGTTCACAGGATAGCACTTGCTCAAGGAGCAACCTCCCATTGGACGACAGTGAGTGAGGGTGAGGGACAGACCCAGGGAAGGTTTCACACTCAGACCTTGATATTGAGAAGAAATATACCTTCTTCACAGCAAGCACAAGCAAGGGGCGCAGCAACGAACAAGCTCTCCAAGCGGCAGCACGAGGACGAGAGGGGAGCTGGTCGACGCGCGCACGCGGTCGTGGCTGTCGCTGCAGGCCCAGCCATGTGTCAGTCGCGCTGCCTGCCTGCAGGTGCAGCTCGCGGCGGCGGATGAGATCGCGACCGGTGACCGGCGCTTGCGCACCAGCCCCGTCCGCCGCCGGTTCCGCGGCCGCGGTCCCTTTCATAGCTACGCGCGCCATGGATTCCACGGCCTTCACACGCTCGTTCTGTGAACCTGGCGGAGCGCCGAATAGTTTTTAGTGTTTACAGATTACACTTTTCTCTCAAATTCTCTATACTTAGAGGGAGGAAAAATCCCCCCCTCGAGGAAAAAATCATCCACCTTCGGGAGGTAATCGCAACATTGAAAAATCCCGTGCCAGTGTTTCTCCGTACATATCAAAATATTCAGATCCTTGAACGGACACGACACTCGGACGCGGCACGTTCTAGTCTCTAAACCCAAAACCCAGGTTACTGATCATGCGGTGAAGTAGTTATGATCAGCCTCGCTCTCGCTCCAACTTGGCCAAACGGGTTGCCAGCGCCGCGGTCGTGTCCTTGGCCTGCGCCGCCGACTTTTTGGCCGCCGCCTGGGCCGCCGCCTGGCCCGCCTCCAGCGCCGCGATCTTCTTCTGCAGCCCGGCGATGGTGCTCGCCGCCGCACTGGCCGACGTTGCGGCGGTCGTCTCGGCCGCCGCCCTCATCTCGGTCATGGCCTGCCGCAGCTCGCTCAGCTCTTGGTCCTGCTGCAGCAGCCTCGCCATGGCGAGCTGCAGGTGCGCGTCCCTCGCCTCCTCTAGATGCGAGGCGACCTCGCCCTGCACCAGCCCCGGCGCGAGGCAGCCGAGCGCTCGGAAAGGGCACTCGGCGGGCCGCATCGCACAGGGGCCTGCGACGTGCGCCTCCATGTCGCGCCGCGGCAGGCTCTCCTTGCAGCCGAGCGCACACCGCACCACCTTGAACTCGCAGCTGCCGTCGTGCGCCGCCTCGTACCGCGCGCTGAAGAGGGCAGTGCAGCCAGCGTGCGAGCAGCCGACCGGCCGGAAGACGCAGCTCGTCAGGTGGCGCTGCGACGGAGGGCAGAGGCGACGCGGTCAGAGGGGCCGCCGCGTCTCTCGCACGCGGCTCTCTCCCGCCGCCGCACCTCGCGCTCCGTCGAGCCGAGCTGCTCCATGTCACAGCCGCAGTGCCACTCCCGAGTCGTGTCGTACCGCTGCACCAGCTGCAGCGCGAGGCGCTGGCGGCCTCCGTGCCGGTACTCGCCTCGTACCTCGAGTTCGCGCGCCTTGCCCGCGACCTTGTCCGCCGCGTTCGAGACGAAGCGCCCTCCGAACGAGCGCCGCGCCTCGAGCTTCTCCAGGCGGGCGTGGAGCACCGCGAGGCCGCGCGGGCCCTTCTTGGCCGAGGAGAGCTTCTCCGAGAGCAGCCCACGAACCTCGGCCATTGCGTCGCTGGGCTGCAGGCCACCTTGCACGACCCGTGTCGCCATAGTGTTGAGCAGCCGCGCGCTGAGCAGCTCAAGGGTCTCGACGTCGGCAAACTCGCACAGCGCCGGGGCAGAGGCCGGCTCGCTGTCGCAACCTCCCTCGTCGGCGGGGCCCACAGTGCTGTCACTGTCGTCGCCGCCGCAGCTGCCAGCTGGATCAGACGCGTTCGTTGAGACTGTGGCCTCGACAGCCGTTTCCCTTGCGTTCTCCGCCAAGGAGTCGGCCTTGTCGGCGGGGTCCACAGTGCTGTCACTGTCGTCGCGGCCGCTGCCGCCAGCTGGATCGGTGTTCGTCGAGACTGTGGGCTCTGCAGCAGCAGCAGCTTGCTGCTGGTTTGCTCTCATGCTTCCGGTGTGAATCTCAGACGGTACCTTTCTGTCCTCCAGAGTCGAAGAACTCGACCGTTGGCTGGCCGCCAAAGTGGCTGGACGGCGCCGCGGCGCACACTGGTGAGCCGCGGAGCACACTGAGGGAGCTGTCCTCGGCGCAGCCGATCGGCTCCCGCGGCCTGGGTGATGGCAGTGGCGGCACTCTCTGAGGCTCCCTGATTTTTTCTGGTATTTGTTGAGCAGTCTCTGGTCACCTTCGCCGGGCGAGCCTGGCTCTCGCTGCACAGCGGCGCGACCCGCGGTGAGGCTGCCGATCGTCGAACTGGGCTTAGCTCTCAGTCAAGATATTGTGCATATGGTCGGTCTCTACAATATCCTCTGGGCCGGCGCGGGGGCCCCAGAGGGTGTCCATGCGGGGGGGAGATGGGGTCCCATGGCCCGCCGCAGGCGCCGATTTTTTGGAGTTTTTTCTTTTTTTCGCGATTTTTTACTTGTTTTCACGGGAATTCGGCGTACTTGCGGCCATGCTATCACGCCTTGCGACAGCCTGTCGGCGCTGCTGACCGTGCCATGCTGCACAATTGATCACCTGCATAGCTCGCGGCCTTAGTATCAAGCATTCAGTGACGACCGATCGGCCAGTAGGAAGGTGTCCTTCCAGCTGCGTGCACGCTTCTGACGCAATGCGCGTCACAAACTGCCTCGGATTGGCTGCTGGCACTCTCGAGGCTATGCCTACACAGCCTCGCGCGCATGGGCAGTCAAGAGGGACCACGCACCTTCTCAGGACAGCGCCGGTGCCTCTCTCTTGGACCTGCAAACTTGGTGGTCTCGTGTCACCAATGTGGGACCAGTGCGGCATCGCGCCATCGACAGCTCTGAACTGCGCCTCACCACTGACCGGGAAGGCCGCCAAGTGGGCCAGCACAGGTCGCACATTGAGGCAGCAGTCAGCAGTGCATGGCTGATAGCTAGAGCAGCAGCGTCAGGGTCGCAGGGTCGGATCGTGTCAAGCCTCTCGCCCGGCCGGCCGCGTGCAGACGTCGGCCTGTCTGCTGTCTGGAGTGATCTGTCGGCGGTCAGTACGACCGATCAGGTCGGAGTTTTCTGATGGTTGGAGGGTCTATCTGTATGTACTCCTCGAGATCTCTCCAAATCTGCCCTCTACTCAACCGTACTTAATCGGGAAGTCGGTGCTCATAGAGACTCATAGAGCCGGAGCCCCGTTTCCGCACTGCGGCGCGGCGCACGGTGCCTCCGGGGGGCCCCGCGCCGGCCCAGAGACAATATCTTGACTGAGCACGACCGATGAATCAGCAGCAGGGAGACAGGAAGGCTCGCTGTGTGAGTCGGCCACGCAGAGGGTCGGAACCTGGGCAGCAAGAGGATAAGCAAGAATTTTACCTCGTCGTAAGCAAGAAAACCCGAGAAGCTAACTAACCCTCGGAGCCCGTGTTTACTCGGGTGTGAGGCTACCGACTGCACTCCATCCAAGTGAGTGCTCCAAGTGCTCCAAGTAAGTGGGCTCTCGAGGTTCTCGAGGTGGATATGCTTCCTTTGGCCGCGATGGGTAGCGAGGATTGGTGTGACGCGATCCCACAGGGTGTTTTCTGACGCTGCCGACCGTCAGTGCACGGACGGAGTTGCCCCTTCTCCGACTGCCGGCTAGTTTCCGAGGTGGCGCGGGAGTGACCCCAGCGTCCCCCGAGACCTACCTAGCGCGGGTGGGTTGGAGGGGGCTCGCTGCGAGGAAGGGCTGTGTATGTAAGAAGCCGACCATTTCCTGCTGTGACCATTTTTGAGGGAGGGTGTAGAGGATGTAGAGTGTAGAGCGCTTGTAGAGCTGTATGGTCCAAAAGGAGAGGTGGGAGCTCTGGAGCTCTGAGCGAGGGCTCTAGCTAAAAAAAGTTTCCCAAAACCGGCCAATCCTCGGCCGTCCCCTCATCCATTCGCGGCCATGATCGGAGCCAACCTGAACCGCACCCGCACCCGCACCCGGGTACTGGCCGTCGGCGCGACTTTCGTCCTCCTCGTCGGCGCCTTTTGCAGCCTCTCGCCTGCGCTCCACCGCCTCGGTGTCGGTACCCCACCGGAGAAGTGGCTTGACCCCTTGTTCGGCCTCGGCAGCATAATACTCGGCGTGCAACCAGACACACTTGGGCTCCTTCTTCCTGCTTCCTGGTTACCCCGACCTCCCATGGCTCCGAGGCAACGACCGACAGCTCCGCAAGACGATTAAACCAGCCAGGCTGTCGCGAGCCGAGCTAGGAATACCCGACTCTGCATTTGTTGTGACTGCCACCGGCTCCCTTTGCCACCGCAAGCAACAGCATTGGGTGGTGCGAGCGCTGAGAGCACTGCTCGCTCAAGGGGCGGACGCCTATGCGCTGCTGGTCGGCAAGCAGCACCAGTGGGGTGTCAGGACACAGCGACATGTCGACGAGTTCGTCGCTCAAGTCAGCGAGGAGGCTCAGCGCACGGGCCTTAACCAGACGCGGCTGCGAATCATCGAGTTTACTCCCTCCGGCTCGTGGCAGTATATTGCCCTCGCCAACCTACACGTCTCGGCTTCACAGGCAGAGGCCTACCCGCTCAACACACTGGAGGCCATGGCGCTCGGTGTGCCTGTCGTTGCCACCGCTGCGGGCGGGACGGCAGAGCAGTGGCCAAGCCCGGCACAGGCTCCAGAGGTGCAGTGGATGCTCGTGGGCCCAACCGACGAGCAAGGCTTCGTGGCGGCGGTCAGCCGCGCCCATGCGCTGCACACCAGGGGTGAGCTCTTGCCTTTGAGCTTGATACAGCGCGCTTTTGTGGGAAGGGCTGAGGTAGCTGTGCGACGTTTTGAGCAGCGAGTGCAGGGCCTGCTCGATCTTGTGCTGAGTCGGCTGCCTGCCCAAAGGGACCGGGGCGCGCTGTGGCGGCTGTGTTCAGGAGCGCCGGACGATGTGAGATAAGGTAAGATAAGGTAAGGTAAACTCCACACACACGAGGTGGTGGGGCAAGGGGGGCGACCCTCGCGTCTCCACAATGTGAGATAAAGCCGTAGGCCATGCGCATGCCCCGAGATGCACCCCGGGGCGCCGGGACGTCGGCGAGGTGGGGCTGGTAAAATACTGTAAAATTAATTATAGGAGAGAAAATGTACATCAGACTACTGACCAAAGCGATTTGACGCTGAGCCCCTCGGGTGGCAGCTCGATGGCGAGGCCCAGTTCTTGTGAATACGTCAGCTCTGCGCCCCTCTCCTCGCTGTCATCGGCATAGTACGCCGCCATCGTCGCTTCGTCGTGGGTCAGAATCTCGACCTAAACTCACACAGTTCACACCTTAGTCGCTCTTCACCGCTCACGGCACGTGCGCTGTTCGAAGCGTTCGTCGTCCGCCGCGCTGTCGGCCCCGGGATCAAGATGCCTCTGGCGGCCTTGCTGCACGTTGACATCGACGCCGAAGATGGGCTCGCGCGAATAAATAGCATGCATCGAAGAGAGCTCCTTGAAGACCGTCTTCATGTGCTCTGCTGGATCCATACGAAATCCCAGTACGTAGCCGCCGCACCTACTGAGGACCCAGGGGGTTGACGGGGGAAGAGGGTTGGAGCGCAGCTTTAACGCGCCCCGCGCCGCTTCATGACCTCGACCACGAGCGCCGCGCCGAACTTGGAGTCGCGGATCGACGTGGACTTCATCTGTGGTGAGGCAGGACGGGGCGTCTGTGCCTCTAGATCCTGCCGAGCGGCGGAGGCACGATCCCGCCTGCATGTATGGGATGGAGACATTGAAGCTCTCTGCCGCGTCTGCGTGCCACACGAGCCGCACGTTCGTCAAGAAGAAGGTGCCCAGGTTCCCTGAGGGCACGGCCGTCGTGGCTGTAAAACTTGTCCACTCGGGCCTCCTGCCCGGTACGGCGGGTGTCTCGCCCTGATCCGAGGAGAGGTTCCACACGCCGGCGACACGATTCACCATGATTTCGCCCGGAAGGAGAAGCAGCCTTTGACTCTTGATGATCGCTCCGCGCAGCTTCAGGTCGCGGAAGAGCCGCGAGGTGTCGTACGCTCGGTACACGGCCTGAGCCGCGAAGTGTCACTTGTGATTAGTCGTGGGGGACAGGGGGTAGAGGCTGGGCGGCACTTCGGCGATGCCTGAACAGACGCAAAGAGGCTCTCGTCGTCTGTGGCAAAAACGAATTCAAAACGGGACGTGTTGAACTTGGTCATCACGTACATTGCCTGGCGCTTGCCATGCAGCTGCGACTGCGCATCTCGCAGGTCGATTGATACCACGCACGCCCATCCGATCGACAGGTTTACGCGTGCCTGCCCAATTGCGGCGTGCTCACGCTGAGCGCCTACTTCACGGGGCTGAGAGCAAGACTATCCGATTCCCCTTTGGCATCTGCGCGGGCCCGTGTGCCTGTTTGCGGCACACCCACGTCAGCCGCAGGTTGGAGACCGTCAAGGTGCCCAGCTCGCCGCTATTGCCCTTGGTGTCTTCGACGTTTCCAGCAGCATCGATCGGCACCTGTTGCCACGTTGCGACCGATTGACTATCCGCGTTTTGTGCGAGCGACTTTCGAGTCCGCCGCTGCCTCTCCGGCGCGAAGCGCGAGCTGCGAGATGGGCGCGTCGAATCGAATTTCTCGGTCTTGCCAGACCTCGGCGACGGGCATGAGCGTTCCCCGGGTAACGCTAGAGCCGTAATAACGGCGGCCGGCGGGAGGTAAGGTAAGGTAAGGTAAACTTCTCCACACACACGAGGTGGTGGGGCAAGGGGGGGCAACCCTCGCGTCTCCACGTCTGACGACAGGAGCCCCACGGCATTCAAAGTGCAAGGCCCAGTGCGCGTGGGTGAGCGGTGTGTGTGTGTGTGTGGTTGCGCCAGCGGGACGCAGGGACCGACACCCTCCCCACCCTGGACCCCCGGCATACCCGCCGGCAGAAAAGAGTTTTGCTGAGGATTCGCAACAAAATAGCCCTGTCTAACCCATGCGCGACCCTCGCGCTTGGTGACAGGTGGTAGGATTACGCTCATACGCTCAGAGGCCAGCTCAAACCACCTTGCCGCGCCCTCGCCCGGCCGCAAAGCCGCGCGTCCCATCGGGCCCCTTCGCGAACCGCGTCATCTTGGCCGGGTCGACCTGCCGCTGCTTCTCCCGAGGCGTCTCTTCGGCCGCTTTGGTCTGGCAGATGCGGCGAGCGACGAGCTGCTGCGACTGTGGCTCGGCACAGAGGCAGAACGACACCTCGTCCCCGACAGAGACGCGCACAGAGGCCGACTTGCGATCGGGGTCGACGAGCACGTCCGAGAGGGAGAAAGAAACCTGCTGTGGCGTGCCGCTATGCTTGGCCGCGAGCTCGGCCAGCGCCGACGTCGTGCCTTTGACGGTGGGAGCCGCGTTGGCGAACGGAGACTGCCCTGCAGAGATGTAGATTGCGCTCACCGCAGCGGCTGCAATGTCTTCTGGCGCGTCCGTCTCGGGCTCGGCTGTCGACGCCTCGTCCCCAGCGCCTCGCCCCCACGTCGCGCCCTTGCCAAGCAGCGACTGCAGCCCTCCTCCGTCGCTTCCCAACGGCGCCTCGCTGTCCGCGTTCGCAGTCCGTGCGGCGGCGGCAGCATCGACGGCAGCTTGGGGCAGCGCGTCCGTAGCGCGGATGCTGCCCTGGCCCCCTGAGACGGCCTTGACCACGCCGCGGATCGGCACCGGTGTCGAGTCGACCAGGACGAGCGCGCCGTCACGCCGGCGGCGGCAGAGCCGCGACGTGACGGTCGTGCCGAGAGCGGGCACGGCGCCACGCAGCGCCTGCTCCTGCCGCCGACGGTCGATCGGAAGCCTGAGTCGCTCGCCCTCGAACTTATCGAGCAGCAGCACCGAGATCTTCGCGGCGTCCTCTCCGTCTGCGTCGTCGCCGATCGTCTCGCGGCTGCAGTCGGCCTCGCCCCCCGCCTCGCCCCCCGCCTCGGCCCCCGCCTCGGCCCCCGCCTCGGCCCCCGCCTCGCCCCCCGCCCCGGCCCCCGCCTCGCCCCCCGCCTCGCCCCCCGCCTCGGCCCCCGCGACGACAGTCCCCTTCGCCTCCTCGAGGAGACAATCCTCAAAGGCGACGGTGCCCGGAGCGAGCGAACGCAGCCGGATGGCCACGCTGCGGCCCTTCCTCCGGCCGGCCGCGTCCTCGGCGGTCACGACGAACTCGAACTCTGCACCAGCTGCCAGCCGGTGCACCCCGTCGGGCAGCTGCGAGAAGTGGAAGAAGACGGGCGAGGCGCGCGCCTCCGCCTTGAGGAAGCCAAACTGCTCCTTCACGTTGACGACGACGCCGCGCTCCACCGCGCCGTCCGCGCACCGCTCGTACGTCGCCCGCGTGGGCCGCACGGAGCCGTCGCGCGCGCTGACCGCCAGCAGCAGCGAGACGATGTCGCCCGGCACCAGCTGCTCGCGCGACTTTGCGTCGGCTTGAGGCAGCGGCAGGACGGTGCCCGCCATGCCAGCCACGCTATCGACTCGCTCGAGCGCCGCGCGCGCCTCGGCCGAAGGGGTCGCCAGGCCCGCGCCGACCTCCTCGCCGGCGCGTGGCGAGAGCGGCGGGGCGAGCGCCTGGCCGAGCTCGAGGGGGATGGGCTTGTCCGAGTCGGACCTAAATTAATTAATCAATTAGTTAATTGTTGATGGGCTTTTCCGACTCGGACCGCTGCGCGGGCTCGTGCGACCCGCCGGCGGCACGCGCAAGCGGTGCGGCGGCAGCGCTAGCGGCAAACGGCAGCGGCCCGAGGAGCTCGACCGAGCCGGCGCCGCAGCTCTGCGCCGCGCCGTCTCTGGCGCCGCCTCCGCGCCCGCGCGGCGCCGCGGGCGCGAGCCGGACGACGGCCTCCCACCAGCGCGGAGAGACCCACTCGAGGACGAGGGAGCCTGCAGGCAGCCGCCGGAGCTGAGCTGTGCGGGTAGTAATTAATTCATTGGCTGGGAGGAGGGAGCCTGCAGGCAGCCTCCGGAGCTGTGCGGCCGCCGGCCTGCCCGTCTTTGCGTCGCTCGCCCGCCGGTACTCCACCTCGTCGCGCAGTCATTCATGAATAAGTACTCAATTAATTCAGGGTGCCTCCTACCGCCGGTACTAGTGCTCCACACCTCGTCGCGCGGCCTCACCCCAGGCAGCGACGACGCGGCGAAGCTCAGCGGGGCGCCGCCCGCCTCGCCGCGCAGCAGGCCGTGCCCGTCGCGCAGCGAGAGCACGAAGCCGCGGTTCACCTTCTGCGCCTCGAGCCGCACGTCGGCAGCGCCCACCGCGCCCGTGGCGGCGTCGGTCGCCTCTCTGAAGCTCACCTCGTCACCCTGGTACAAGCCCGCCGCGCGCGACTCGCCGCAGACGTCGTCCAGCCCAAAGCTGAGCTTCCCCGCCCCTCCCTCGGCGGCGCCCTCCTCGGCCGCAGCCTCCTCGGCCGCAGCCTCCTCGGCCGCGCCCTCCCCGCGCCCGGCCGCCCCGCCCTCGAGCCGGATCATCCCCCCGTGCGCCCCCTTCTCCGCGCGCGAGAGCAGCCGGTGCAGGCTCGCGCTGCCGGCGAGGCAGCGCGTCACCACGCCGCGCAGCCGAGCCTCTCCGAGCTGCTCGAGCGCGACGGAGCCGGCGGGCAGCCGGCGCAGCTTCGTCGCCGCGTCCTTGCGCGAGCGCGGGTCGAGCACGACGCAGAAGGACACGTCGTCCCCCACGCGGAGCGGGCCGCCCTCGCGCGGCGCCTACAGGGAAGTGTCCGCGAAGTGTCTAGGAAGTGTCGCCCCCCACGCGGCGCGGGCCGCCCTCGCGCGGCGCCTCGGACAGGTGGAAGAAGTGTCTAGGAAGTGTCTAGGAAGTGTCTAGAGAAGTGTCGCGCGGCGCCTCGGACAGGTGGAAGAAGAGGTCGGCAGCCTTGCCGGCCGTGCGGAGGAAGCCGAACTTGTCCTTGAGCGAGGCCACCCGCCCGCTCTGGCGCGGCAGCCCGCCGCCTGCCTCGATGAGCTTCACGCGCGACGCCGCGCGCTGGCGCGAGCCCGCCACGCTCATCAAGCGGCACTCGACCAGATCGCCGACGTGGAGAGCGCTGGGCCTCTCGCAGCCGCGGGCGTCAAAGGACACCACCTCTGTCTGCTCGTCATCGTCCTGGCCGCCATCCCCAGCAGCGGCGTCACCCTCGGCGGGAGGCCCGTCGCCCTTGAGGACGGCGAGACGGCCGCCGTAGCCGTCACCGCCACGAGCGCCGCGCAACTCTCTCTGCACGACGGCGCGGACGGTGACGGCCCTCGCGGGCGCAGGCAGCGTCCCGCGCGGCAAGATGGTCACCGCCTTGGCTGCCTCGCGCCCTGAGCGGCGGTCGAGCTCGACCGAGAAGGAGACCTCGTCGCCCTCTACTGGGACGTCACGGCCGACGAGAGCGCTGAAGTGGAAGAAGAGACCTCCGCCGCCCGTCCGCCGGTCGTTGAGGGGTCGGATGAAGCCAAACCCTTCCTTGATGCTGGTGACGTGGCCAGAGTCAGCGCCACCATCGTGGGTGGGCCCCCCCATGTGTGTATGGACCGCGGATGCAGTGTTTTTTCTTTACGCTCTCCTTGTGAGCCTGTTTGTGTCTGTGTGTCGCTCGTGCGTGTCGTCATCGTTACGTCTCTCTATATAAAATCTCTCTCACGTTATTGAGCCTCTCTCTCTCCTCTCTCTCTCTCTCCCTCCTTCTCTCTCCCTCCCTCCCTCCCTCCCTCCCTCTCTCTGTCTCTCTCTCTCTCTCTCTCTCTCTCTCTCTCTCTCTCTCTCTCTCTCTCTCTCTCTCTCTCTCTCTCTCTCTCTCCCTCTCTCCCTCCCTCCCTCTCTTTTATCACACCTTTTTTTCAGAGCTTTATAAGCAATTGGTCCGATCGCGTACGTTTTGCAACAAGCCCTGCATGAGCACTCACCCGTTCGGGGTGAGGTTGGGCCCGGGTTCGAACCCGAAAGTCGAGGTGGCCGAGTGGTCTAAGGCGGCGGCTTTAGGCGCCGTTCCAGAAATGGGCGCGGGTTCGAACCCCGTCCTCGACACATTTTACCCTGTGCTACGAGCAAATCTTTTGCGCCTTATTTTACCCTGTGCTACGAGCAAATCTTTTGCGCCTTACAGGGACACGGAACGGTACGGGTGGACGCTAGAAGTCAGCGCTGACCGTCACGCCGTTCTCGTTTTTCTCGTTACACCACACACAGACTGGGACACCGGCACAAAAGAAAGAAAACAGACACCCAAAGAGGCGATGGTTTTTCTCGTTCACTGGTGGACCGCTCCACTCACCACCTCGCGTCCCACTTTTCTCCGCCCACCTGTCGCCTCGCCTCCGTCCACCTTTCAACGCCGTGCGATGAAGATCTTTGTCATCTACGACCACGCCAGCGCGCCCGCCTCGGCGCACCACAAGCTCGCCATCACGCTGCCCGCAAAGTGGCTCGAGCTCTCTGTCGACAAGGCGGCCTCTCGCCCCGGCCGCCACTCGCGGCGAGCCTCCGGCCAGGCCGCACTCAGCCTGCGCCGCGCCGGCCGACGCA